CTATTAAAGAAATCTTTAAAATTATGTGCCTGGGAGGCACCGATGCCCTGTGTTCATAAACCGAGATGCTGCTCATGCAGTTATTTGAGGAGTAAACGAGAGGAGGGGCGGGGGGTAGCAGATGAAAGCAAAATATAGAAAAGGTCGATAACATTATTTTTCTCTCAGTCCGTGGATATCGTAGACCCTTACAGCAATATTGTCGAGATGCACAACATGAGCTGGAAAATGAGTCAGGGATCAGAATCCAGCATTTTATCCGCCTTGCTTCACTAAAGCAGCAGTCACCAAGGGAAAGAGCTTTCTTGCAGGCTCTCTTCTTTTCTGACTGCAAGCAGGGGCTGTCGCTGTGTTTTCACAGTCATGGAAAACATCAAAATAATATCTAATAGTGTTCCCTCGCAGTTCTGTAAATGATTCATAGTCAAAGCTGGCATTTTTGCACACTTCTCTTTGAAAGACGCTGTCAGGATTTTTTGACACGTTCTATATCTTCTTCTGCTTTGATTCCGTCTTCGTGGATGCAAGAGACGGTAAAAACCGCCAGGGATAATCTGTACATCTGCACAATCTAACAGGATCAAACAGAACTCATCATGGCCACTGGAGATGGTTGCCGAGCTGTGTTTACCGCGGCATCCTGGCTTTATCCCTCTGTGCACGGACGCATACAGATGGGCCTCAATATGTACTTGTTTGGACAGCATATAAATATGTGCAAATGTATTTGAATGAATACCTGGAGCTACGAAGCAACTGTTGGCATTCGGCACAAAAAGAAACTAATTAATATGGTAATGCCGTGTTAGCACGTTAACCGATAATACACGGGAGGTATTTTTGCTTTGATTTCGATGATTGGCTGAAGAACTTTGAACAGAAAAAAGGAGGTACAGAGATCAAATATGGGATTCATGTAGTAGCTTCATGTGAGCTGACAACAGGGGGATGCGTGGTACACATGCTAGTCCCCCATGACACCCAACTAAGAACTCACATTTCAGGGCAACTGGATGCTCCACCTTACTTACTTCACAGTGTAAAGACACATTTTAACGGTAAAGCGGGGGTCTCAAATTGAGAAAAGTCTTTTAATTTCACAAAAGCTACCAATAGTACAGATGTCCTAATTAGATCCCAGGTATTGGCTGAAGCCTGATGAAAACGTTTTTTTTTTTAATTGGTAATGGGAGCTTCTGATCCCTGTTGTTGGTCTATTGTCTGTGTCTTGTGACATGGTATGAATTCAGAGGTCCCCATTAGGGCAGCACAGAGAGCAGCTACACTACCTGTCATTAAAGCTTTTAATGTTAAGGGCAAAAGTCTTGGTGACCGTTAGTGGTAGTGGTTATTTTACAACACTAAATTCTTCTTTATCTTTGTGAGTTCATAGTTAACTAGAAGGGTACTGAAATATGCTACTAAATCATCATCTGTCTCCATCAAAATGAAGTTAGCCTGCCACTGCCACACAAGGTGTTTCATGTTATGGACAAACAGCATGTTTCAGATACTGATGAGATTTTTTTATTTTTTTACACCGAACACTCTTTCTTTTGTCTTCTGTTTATTAGTTTTCCATTTGCTTAGCACTAACGGCACCAAAGGCACGACAGAGAGCGAGTAAAGAAGTGTCCCAAAGTCTGAATAAACCTCTCATAGACCTCTACAAATCCTTAAAAACTATTGATTCAAACCACTTTAAAAGATTAAAAGAAAGTCTGGCATCTTAGTAGGAAAGTATAAAGAAATTAAAGGTGGTTTGTAATTTGCTTTGCAATAAGCTCTTACTATATGCCACCCCCAGCCTCCAACATCAATGATCCAATGAGCAGTTTAGGAGATTATTCACCCCAAATCTATGTTAATCACATCTATGCCTACTCTCTTATATGCTTAAGGGCAACGAGGATGTATCCTCTATGTACACAGGGATCCATTGGAAGGGAGCAGCTAATACTTACAGACCTGCTGCCTCAGAAACATTTCCAAGATCTGTTTCCTTTGCTTCCATCACATTCATAGATTAGAATCTAACAAGAGAAAAAACATTTTCTAATCTCCAGGTATGACATAGTACCTCTACATAAAAACGAAACAAAACAAAATTCCAACTATCTAGACAAAATGTTTGTCTCAAGTTAGCTTCTCTCAATATTCCTTCGTCAATCTTCTTTTTTGTTTGTCCCCCTCTGCATTTATAATTTACATTCTGTTGAAACAAAGGAGGCGGCTGCTTCCAAGCATTCTGCCAGCTCTGTTTATCCACTAACACTATATAAGTCCCGTTCGCCACGCACTTCCAAATCAGTCCCAAGTGCCTATCCACCAACGTTCTCCCCATCAACAAATGTACACAGTGCTTTTCAAAACCAGTCTAACGGAAAGGTCTTAATTCGAACACACGCGGATATTCAAACATTGCTGCTCATTATTTGAGCAGGGTGTGTGGTTGCGCTGCTTGACAAAATAACTGTAAATACTGACATGGCTAATCTCAGCACAGCTGTTAGTATTAGGTCCTTTAATCCTGGTCCAGATCGGTGATGTGCTCACATTGGCTTGGGGACAGATGAGCAACAGCCACCAGGCTGCCAACTGGGCTAAAGGCAGCAGACGGACGCTCACTTTCAGACATGATAAGCTGTGAATCTGTGAGTCGTGGAGCGCAGCTTCCAACCGCGCAGTTTTAGTCAAACATCAGCAGCATTTTGACTAAATATTACTGGCTCTACTGAAACTTCACATAAAAACACTAAAATTCCTTTATATTCCAGAAATAATGGGGGTTAAAAAGGGTAGATGACACAAATACTAACATTTTTGCATTGTTTTTTTTAACGAGACTGAAATAAAATAATGGTTGGTACTGACTAATAAATCAAGGTGGGTATTATTAGATGGCAAAGCATTAAAACATGTTGACAATCTGCCAAAGAAGAAAGACTGTGGCATTGCAGAAGTTAGTATTTTTACGGTTTTGCCTTTTCCGTGACGGGTAATATTGATAATATGATTTATGCTGAGGTTGAACTAGAAACCGTGATAAATTTCCATACAATACTTAACCTTCATTTTTTTTGTTTATAGTTGCAGTAAATCAAATAGAATAGAGTGTGATTCTATGTGCCTCATAGCAGTTGGGAGAATTGCACAAATTGATAATAATCTGTTCAGAGGCGTTCTTTTAAGCTAAACCCTAAATGTTTTCTTGAAAACCAGTGAATAAGGAAACATTTGGAATGTGATTTTACATCTGATTTCCCCATCGTGTACTGTCACTAAGTCAGAGTAATTATGTTGCAAGTCAAAAAAAACAGTATATGCAAGTGCAATTTTAAACACAAAAAGTAATTTTATTTGCACTTATACAGTCTTAAGTGACAACAAATAAAAAGCAAGCTTTCCTGCTGATCTCTATTAACAACTGAGAAAATTCTTTCAAGGCTGACAGATGAAGCGAAGCACCCCGTCAGTAAACACATGCAACATACGAGGGGAACCGGCACTGTTAACTCAGATGTTCAAAATATAAAGACGGATCACATCCATTTGATTTTTTTTTCTCTTTCCAATGTTTTATCTGATTTCATCAAATCATGTTTGTTGATGGTTTCGTAATCTGTCAGTCAGTCCTCTAATGGACAAGCGATCATTCATCCCGGAGTGCTCCCCTCTGATGATTTATGGGGCACCGCAGAGTGATGGGACTCTTCCTTCAGGCTGTGTAATAAGCCCTTAAATCACAGTGAAAATGACTGCTGTGAGAGGCTGATGCTGCACTATGAAGTGCTGCACTTCTCTGCCGCTGACATGCTGGAGCCGGTCTGCACCGACTCCTCCGTCTGATCTGCATACAGCGCCGTGTGCCAAGCCCGATCGTCTGCGGTCAGATGTAAAAAAGGGAGAGGAATAGACGAGACGGCAACTGTGTCACGTATCAGAAAGCAGAAAGGTCGTGAGTGTAAGAAATGAAATGAATGACTGACAGATGGAAGCATGGACATAGATGCCAAGCCATATTCTCTTGCTAGGAGGCGTAAGGAAACTGACAATCCTGTCTCCTCTGGAAAGGAGAAAAAAAAAAAAAATCAAACAACAACCCCCCACAGCATGTAAACAGACTACTCTGTTGACAGCCTGGCCATTTTTTGATCCACATAAAACTGGAATCCAGAATGAATTTTCATGAACCACTGTACCAAGATGAAGGCACCAAAATTGACTCCAATAATAGAATCATTCCCATTGTTAGGTTATGGTAAAAATCCATTAAAATTGAAATTCAAACAGCGAAAAATAACTCTACAAATGCCCAAACCAATGAGAGATTTTCTTCTCCCCCTCAACGTAAGCTTGCAGGTGCTTTGAAATGGACTAGAACGTGAGAAAATGTTCTCTTCTAATTACGATGCCCTGCTGTGAATTTTCTCCTCTAATTACGGTGTCCTTCTGTGATCGTCTTCGATGTTTTCTTTGAAGCCGGAGCACGCGGACCAGGTGTGGAGAAGATGTCAAAAATAAAAAAAACAAAAAAAAAGAAAGAAAAGGAACGAATGAAAAGGAGGTCAATCAATACAAGATGGCTTTCCTCTAGTTAATAAAGTTGTATTCAGTCTGTGCTCCCAACAGCTCCAAAGGCCGCACTTATGATTGTTAAGTTGCTCCAATTACTTGGTGGCAGAGACTTCTGTGCAAAGCCTCATTAACCCCTGGCTTTGGTAAAAAAACAGAAAACAGTCGGGTGTTTTCTCTCAGGGAATGTAATTGATGGGACACCACAAAACAACACACCCACTGGAGCATCCAGTCCCTCAGCAAATTATTGCTTCGCTTACAGCCCAGAGTACACCTGGCTTTGATTTTCATTTTCTGTACCTCAGTGTAACGTATAATATGCTGCAATCGGGTTCTGTGTATGACAAATGTTACTTGTTTCAATGGTAATAATTGGGTATCACAAATCACACTGTGTGATGTGAAAGCAAATGGCATTTTTTATTTGACATTGTGTAGCTAGATCTGATAAAGGAATACATGTTTAACTTCAAGTGTGCTAAGGAGACTGATATCTCAGAGGTTTTTGTGCATTCCATCAACAGTCCAAACTTTTGTGGGTCAAATGACTAATAGTCTCAGTTGTTTTGTTGGTCCATTTTATGTTTTGCCAATGAAATACCATCAAGATGTGTGCAATAAGACCTGGGTTGAGCCTGAAGCCGACTACTCCAAAGGTTTTCTGGAGAGGAAATTCCAAAGACAACATAAAATTTCTTGTCAGATTAAAGTTCTGTAATAAATACACAACCGAGAGCCTCCCATTATAGATCACTTTGTCCTTCCACATTATACAAGATTATACTTGAGTATAGGCACACTGTCTGCGTTCACCGATTGTATAATATGAGTTTACCAATTGTACACAATCCTTGTGACGAAGTCCTTCATTTCCCACGAATCAAGTGATTAATAGTAAGTTTGTTGAGCTCGTTGCTTCTTCTCCACCAGGTCAGCCACCGTACACCTGGTAGAGTTATACACTACTACTCTTAACCTCATCAGCTTTGTGTCACGTCCAAAACAGTTTGATGTGAACACTGTTTCCTGCCAAGCTGTTGACATAGACAGAGTATGCATATGATTTTTCACGCATGAACAACTTTGTAACTACAAAAAGTCCAAAACATGCACAATTCTATAGTTACCCTTCTGACAATTTTCAGTTTGACTTATTTAAAAAAGCTAAAATCTGCAAAAACTGAGTTATTCAAATCATATTTTCTGTTGTCCTACTCGTTTTGAAAAGTGGTCAAGAAACCCAAAGTTGTGGATAACTATTTTTTTTTTAATTATAAAGGTAAAGTACACATAAATTCTGCAATATTTATTTTTTGCTTCTGTTATTTTAATCGCAATGGTCATTTAAAAAAAATAAATAAATAAAAAATTGTGACTTTTCCTATCATATTATAGGCTGGCATTTTCTTGTCAATAAATGTGGAAGGCTTTCTATATCCTGTAAAAGATATAAACCTAACGTGCCTTTTGGAAAATAAATTTTATTCATATCCATCCACTGGGTTTTATTTTTGGAAAAGTTGGGGTGCAAGCAAATAGGTTCTTACACGATCTTCAATATCTGAAGTCACATCTCAGGCTGTGCAGGCTTAATGGGATGAATCCTCAAGGAATCTTCTTTTTCATGTTTCTCTCGTGCAGCACTTCTGGCTCAACAAATGCTAAAAATATGACAGTCAGAAAAGTGAGCGAAATTCACATACCCTTAGAAAAAAACTTAAAGCCTATAATTTATCCTGTAAGTGCAAGTATCATCTGTCAGAGCATTCAAGAGCTGGAGGAATCTCATCCACCTCTTCAGCTATTTGGTATTAATAATTCCCCCCCTAAACCCTCCTACCACCATACCTCCTATCCTGGGAGATGGCCTGCAAGGCATAATCACCTCTGATAACAAGGCTATCGCAGCAGGACTTCCATTCCTCTTTTTTTTGGGGGGGGGGAGAGAGTTGGGAGGGTTACCTTTTTTTAAAAGAAGTAATACTTATTCCCACTACAATATTTTCAATTAGCTGATTTGTCATACTGCGGAAGCTGTCCGAGATATTTCCAAGCAAACAGCCTGCCTTTGTGTCCTTATCATTTAATTGATCAGTGGAATGATGTGTAGTAATGAATCGTTTCTGAGTAAATTTATAAATGACAGAGCGTGGCATGTGGTAACAACTTCATTAGCCGGGGTTCGAGGTTTTATCAGAATTAAATGTTCATTACGGTGCTACCTTGGTCCCACAATGGTATCTGCGAGCAATCGGAATTAGAGCAATAATTCATTTAAATGAACATATTTTATTGCAACCAGTCACAGCCAGACAAATCCTACCAGAGATAGTGTGTACTCTTACTCCTTTGTTTAGGCAGCGAGCATGAATTAGTAATAAGCCCGGTGATCCCCTTGCAGCTAAATAGGTTAGGAAAGAGTCTATGCTGATGCATAAAGGAATATGGTGGCTGTAAAAGACAGAGAGAAACTGAAATAAAAACAGAATCCAATACAGCGGGATGCAGAGAGGGACTTTGCTGGGGAGAGGTGGCTGTGTTTTTAAAAAACTTGGTGGGTGTGCTGTTGAGCACTACATGGCTGACTTGAGCTGCGGCGCAACTGGCTGTGGCTCGCTTTGAAAAAATCCCCCCCTCCACCCACAGAGAGTTTCCAAACTGTCACATGCCACTGAACCACAGTAAACAACAAGCGCGCGTGGGTACACACACGCACACACGCTCTCACACACCAGGTCTAGCCATTTTCATTAACAGAACCACTGGCACACTCAGCCCAGCTGGTTTCCGAATCGACACGGGAGCTGCACATCTGGTGTCAGTGCTCCGTTAGCAGGGAGGCCATCTGGTTGAGCGGAGGGAGGGAGGAGACAGGAACAAGTCCAAAGAGATTCTCATTGATAGGACTCTCATTGATATCAACGTATACACATAAAAATGGATTTGTTTGTCAGATGCACTTGCAGCATAGACTCTGTGTGCATTAGTCCTCTTTCGAGTAAGAGGATTAGATGTCAAAGTCAGGTTTTTTATTTTTTATTTTTTTTCCTCTGAGCATTTGCAGCTAATGGCAATGAACAGACAGTATATTTAATGGCTCTGACTCCGACTCAGCAAAACACACATCATCGCAACATGAATATTTCTCCATTTGTATCCCTCGGCTTCCTATTATAATACAGGATACAGCGGCATTAATAATCTTAAGTGTCTCTGTGTGACACTACGGTACATTTTAACTCGTCTGATTTACTTTAATATTGCCTAACAGTCTGCTTCTGTCAAATAACTGTCTGTTGGTAGTACCCTATATCTGCTCATTTCTTTCCAGCAAACTGCAGTATACTTCAGCAGATAGTTGCAACTAAATTGATTGAATAATTAACTTAAATAATTAAGTTACAGCCGCAAGTCTACTGAGACATGTCCGTACCAGCTTTGCACATTTAAAGCTGGAATTTATGTCCATTCCTCTTTGCAAAATAGCCTGAATTCAGTCATATTGGCTCAAGAATGTCAAATAGTTTCAGGTCATTCAGTGTTTTGTTTTTGTTTTTTCTTCTTTTCAGGATTGTTCTTTTTCAGCTCCATCCATCTTCTTATAGCCCCTGATGAGGTCGGATGCCTCCTTGGAGGAAAGAACCTGCTGCAAATACTATCATTTAAATGTTAAAAAAACTTAGAAAAGCTCAAGGGGTGTGCATAGCCACCTTTTGTTGCTAGGGATGAACAAAATACAGAGGACTCATGAGCATGTCCATAAGGTCCAGCAGCTGCACAAATCCATTGCTACCCCTTATTACAAGAATACCTCTTCCATGAAATTGCTTGTAAATTATTATTGACCACAGTGTGACCCTGAGTGTATTTAAGCCATGTGGCATTTAGCTGTTTATTTACCTACATTTGTATCACAGTGAGGCAAAAGGTCATGGAATGACCACTGAAGCCCTTGGACCCACCGGCAGTAATACACTTAAACCTATTGTGAAATCACAAAACATATCTGTTAAACCCCCAGACACACACACACACACACACACACACA